ATGCTGGCTTTTTTTCCCCCCCAGACAGGGTCTCGCTAAATTGCTGAGGCTGGCTTTGTTTGCAGTCCTCCTGCTTCAGCCTCTCAAACTGCTGGAATTACAGGTGTGCACTACTGCACCTGGCTATATTTCTTCTTTTCAGAAGTGTCGTTTAGTTTATTTGCGCACTTATTAATTGGGTTGTTTTTGAGTTCTTTATATATTCTGAATATTTATATTGTCAGAAGAGTAGCTAGCAAAGATTTTCTCCCATTCTGTAGACTCTCTCTTCACATTTTCTACACTTTGCTATGTAGAGCCTTCTAAATTGATATGTTCCCATTTATTAAATTCTTGGTATTATTTCTGGGGTTTTTGGAGTTGTATTGAGAAAGTCATTGCCTGTGCCCGTGTGTTGGAGTCCTGACTCTAGTTGTTCTCCCAGGTGTTGCATAATTTCCAGTCTAATTCCTAGATCTCTGACCTAGTCTCATCTTACAAAAGGATAACACATTTTCCCAGCACCATGTGTTACAAAGGCTGTCTTTTTTCCAGTGTATGTTTTTTGGCACTTTTGTCAAGGATCAGTAACTCTATCTGTGGGGTTTATTTCCATGTCTTCTAGATCATTCCATTGTTCTGTGTCTGGTTTTATGCTGGTACCATGCAGTTTTTGTTATATAATTCTGTAGTCTAATTTGAAGTCAAGTATAATGACACCTCCAGCATTGCCTGTTTTGGTTTAGGATTACTTTCATTATTCTGGGTCTTTTATTCTTTCAAATGAATTTTAAGATTGACTTTTCTAGTTGTGAAGAATGGTCATTGGTATTTTTGATAGGGATTACATTGAATCTGTATATTGCTATTGGTAATGTGACCATTGTAACAATATTAATTCTGCCTATCTCTCAACAGTGAGAGGTCTTTCTGTCTTCTAAAGGTCTTCTTCAATTACAACAGATTTATTTTTTAAAGAATTAGACTGAGGGGTAAAACATGAGAGAGAGAAGTATGGGGTAAAAAATTAATACGCATGTGGGCGGGAGATGTAGCTTACTGATTGTACAAGGCCCTGGGTTCAATCCCGAGCACTAGAAAATAACCTAAAAAAAAAGTAAGTTATTTTGTCGTTTAACCTCTCCCCCCAAAAAATACAACAACCAACCCCCCCCCCCCATAAAACTTTAGTTAAGAGAACTCTGTGTACAAAGTACAATGAAGTTTTATGCTTAGCAAGGCTGTAGATGTAGATGTTTGTTTCTGGTATCTAGAATTTAGGCCCTACCGCTTCTTTTTGTATGTATTAATGGGCATATGACACAGCCCAGGTTTTAACCAGATTTAAGTGGAATAGCCACTTGGCCTACGTAGAAGTAGGTGAAGTATTTGGTTTCATGTGCCACATACCAAAGTTCTTCCTATGGTATTGTACCTGGTGGGGTAGTACTTTTTGTTAAACTCTCCATTTGGATTAATTCTTCATCAGGAAGATCCATACTGGTGTTCCTGTACCGTTGTAAACAAAATTTTGACATAGGCCACAGTGTTCTCCCCTTCTCTGCCCTCCCTAGGGTATAGGGGATTGAACCCAGGGCTTTGTGCATGCTAGGCAGGTGCTCTACCACTGAGCCACACTTCTACACTGCATTGTCCTTTACTTTTATATTTCTCCAAATGCCTGAGTAGTGTACTTTTGATTATCTCCTTTGTTGCACATGGTTACCATGACTCAAAGCTGTCCTGCTTCAAGGTCTCCTGGGGAGATGCTAGCATAGCACCCAGAGGGAGTTGCTGTCACTACTGAAGCTGTAGGATGCATCTCTTAATTTATATTTATTTTAAACATTTTTTTGTTTTAAAATTGTTTACAGTAGAAATATAAATTTGGTTGCATTTATACTGTCATGATGGAAAGTGGAAGTTTTGGCCTACCATTTTATTTTCAAAATGTTTTTCAACCAGCATTAACCCCAAATGCCTATTTATGCTTGRTAAATAAGAAAGCTCATTAAAATTGCTTAAAGTTTTAAAGGAACTAGTCAATGTAGCATTTTTCAAACACGTCCTTAATAAAAAATAAATGTACTTCAGTATACTGTTTCTTTTGTATAGTAGTCTGTTGCCTACAATTGAAGGTGGGTGCTGGATATATTATTAATTGCTTAATTTCTCATATTTTAGGCCTAAAGATTGTCTTCGGTCTATTATGAGGCGGGTGAACCACAAAGATCCCCATGTTGCTATGCAAGCTTTGACTGTAAGTGGTTTCCTTTTGAGCTTTGCCACAACATTACTTACCAAAATTGAACCCTTTTAATTTCTGTGTGCTTTTAGCTTCTAGGAGCATGTGTATCAAACTGTGGCAAAATTTTTCATTTAGAAGTATGTTCAAGAGATTTTGCTAGTGAAGTAAGCAACGTATTGAATAAGGTAAGGAACACTACTGCCAGAAATTAAGGCAGTCTTCTTCATGTATTTATTGTTCATTTCTTAATATTTTATATCACAAAGGACTATTCTGTGTTTCTCTTCTCTACATTACCTTTTCTAGACTATGTCTTTCTGTTATACAAATAAATACTGTTTTACGGAAAGACTATAAATCTATGTAATTATTAGAGTTGGTTTTTTCAAGTCATATTGAAATATATTTAACTTTTTTAYTCTCATTCCTTCATCTGATAAGAAAATATGTATATCTATAGCTAATGAAATATTGCCAGCCTATTTTAGGCACAGGTTTTGTAACCATTTTTTGTAGGTTCCCTAAAGTAGAACCCTTCAGGAATACTGCCAGAATGTAGGGCACTGTTGAATTTTCATCTTATATAAATAAGGTCACTGCTTGGCTATCTCAGGGTTTTAATGGGGTATTGCTATTTTGTCCAACCAAACTGGCAACAAAAATGGTGGCAGGTGATTTCCTACTAGGGACTGCCTCAAATCATCAAGAGATGGGGTCAGATGTAATTCCAAAAAAAGAATCACCAAATGCCAGGGTGATCAGTCCAAATCATTTGATATTCGAACTTAAGTTGAACTTACAGTGTAAGTTGCAATGTCCGGTGAGAAAAGAAATGTTTTATCCAGATATGTCTGTAACAAGCGGGTTATGTTATAGAGTAAATATGTGAGTTTATAGAATTTGGCTCAGGCCAAGGCAGGTTTCTGTGTATTTACAAACTTACTCAGTCTTTAGTGTTTTGAATGATAGCTTGAACAACTTTTTTTTTTTTTTAATATTTATTCTTAAGGTTTTTTTTAGGTGGACACAGTATCTTTATTTTACATTTTATGTGGTGCTGAGGATCCAACCCAGCGCCTTGTGTATGTTAGGCAAGAACTCTACCACTGAGCCACAACCCCAGCCCCTTGAACAGCTTTTTTTTTTTTTTTTTAAATCAATGCTTGAGAATGTTCAAAGCCCTGGCTGGGGTTCAGGCCTATAGATGAAAACATGCAGCTGGATGGGGCCCAGAGTGCTTTGTTTCTTCATGAGGACTAAGAAAGTGGGAGTTTGGGGGACCCTACAAYTGTCTGCATATTTGGATGTAAAGTAAAAAATTAAATCCCCCAATTCAAAGAAGTTAAAAATTTAATAAGTACAGTTTGAGTTTTTCTAGTAAAGAATTATGCATTCTGAAGATAACTATTTCTGGCTTTAAAAAGTTTTTGGTATTATATATAAAAACTATCAAAAGGGTTGGGCTGGGGTTGTGGCTCAGTGGTGTAGCACTTGCCTAGTATGTGTGATGCACTGGGTTCAATCCTCAGCACCACATAAAAATAAACAGATAAAAGAATTGTGTCCATCAGTAACTAAAAATAACTATTAAAAACTACCAAAAGGGGAAATGCTTCTTTCGGTGGGGGGGGACAAAAATTAGTAATTCCAGATTTTAGTAGAAAAAAGCAGCGTAGAAATGTCATAAAAATTTAAAATTCTGTACATTTCAAATATGATTATGTGATAGATCCTTTTCTGCTTTGTTTAGCTACTTAGTTTAATTTTTTTCTGTTAATTAATAAACATTGTCTTTTGATGTCCTGAATGTCGATCAAAATGTACAAAAGAGATTCTATTCTCATGTTTTCTATAATTTAAGTGAAGACGTAATATGAAAACTTACATATTCGTGTAATCAACTATTTTGAAAAGCAACTACATATCACAGAGAGGACTTTATTTTCCAAATGTTTTATAATTTATATCATCAGTTTTATACTTAAGGAGGGGTTTTTGTTCTGAAAAAACGAACTTTCCAAGATGATTAACATGGAAGTACCTCAGACCAAGCCTCAGATAATTAAACATTGTGGTAAAAATACACRGTTAAGAACATTAAAAGTCAGGAATTAATAAAAGGAACTGTACCATTCTCTCCTTGCAGTCTTTAAAAATTGTTGTGCAAAAAGCAAAACAAAACTATTTTTGTCTTTTTGACATGCTTAATTTGCAAAATACTGGAGTCTAAGTCCTATTGTTCTGATCTCCAGAGTGTTATTATGTATTTAATACATTTCATTTTTGAAGTGAGATATAATGGCATATTCCTTTTTYCCCCCATAGTATGAAATAATATGTTTTTTCCCCAGTAACTGTTCTATTTCAACATGTATAGTCTAGGGTATTTATTTCACATGTATAACTAGGGGTGACTTGTGATTGAAAAAGAGGTCTACAATACTTTTGCAATTTTTATATTTAAAGTGTCTGTACTAAGTAGTTAGCTAGGAAGTTGGTATTTTTTCATTAAATTTTTTTTGTTTGTTTCTTAGGGTCATCCTAAAGTATGTGAAAAATTAAAGGCTCTTATGGTTGAATGGACAGATGAATTCAAGAATGACCCACAGCTTAGTCTAATATCAGCAATGATTAAAAACCTTAAGGAACAAGGAGTTACGTTCCCAGCTATTGGCTCTCAGGTAATATGTGTGTGTGTGCTATAGTTTGTTTCTATAACATAACTATGTTCAGTTGAARTTTTCTTTTCTTTGTCCATTTTCTATGTAGTTTTTACTATTTCAGAGAAATTTTTAATAAGAATGATGGATTCAAAGGTGCCAGAAAAATGTTGTAGTGAAATATTAATGTGCTCCAACCTCCACTTTCTTACTGTCTTTTCTTTATAAATGAATTTGTTTAATATTTTGTAATTTCTAATTTTTTTGTGTAGTTTTAATGTAGACAAAATTGTTTGGGTGAGGTCACACTGACAGTCTTATTATCCTTAAAATTTAGGGATAAGGTTATGGCTTTTTTGATAGGAAGTTTATGAACATCTGTATTGAAAATAGTGCAGTGATATGAGGGTTGAATGAAAAGAGAAACACATTTTTCTTAATATGAGCTATCCTATACCTGAGTCTTTTCCCTTTCCCCTAGTAGATGTGACAGACTAAAAGGGTTAACTTCCCTCTTATACACACGTACAGACATACAAACACATATACGCATAGCACACAAACACATGGAATTTTGTAATGGGAWCATCTCTGATTTATGTTATGTAGGGAAAAAAAAATCAAGGTGTATTTTTTTTTTATTCCCTTCCTGTATTTTTCTATTCTAGGTAACCATCTTTTAGGATGTCCAGCTAATCTAGGGGGCTTAAAATGTGTGGTAATTTAGTATACCATCTTTGCCTACTGTGTAGATCAGGCCAAAATATAATGAGAGGCATGAAATCATCAACAGAACACACTCAGTTGTGGAGGGCTCACCTTTGGGCTTTTGACTGCTTACAGATGTCTCCTAGATTCTCATTCAAATCTGTATAGATTTTCTTCCCAAGGTATTTCCATCTTATCTGAGTGCTCTTGTGATATGAAGATCCAGAAATATATCTGAGAGAGGAAGCAAACAGAGGACATTTTCCTTCATAATTTAAATTTTTGGTATTTGATTAGTTTTTACAATGCTATGTCTTTGAGAAGTTATTTATTCATAATTGCTATCTGGCTTTACTAAGAATAATTGCAAGAATCTGTATAATTAAGCAATAATTTTATGTAGAGTAATCCAAGATATTATCAATTTCTTGACGAAAAAACAGTGCTTGTTTACCAGTGAATAAACTCAGTGTAGACAACCAAAGAACACAGATACATAGTGGAATTACATTTTATTTTTTCTTTCTCTTTTTTTAAATATTTTTTTTTAGTTGTAGATGGACACAATGTCTTTATTTATTTTTATGTGGTGCTAAGGATCGAACCCAGTGCCTCACACATGTGAGGCAAGTGCTCAACCACTGAGCTACAACCCCAGCCCCTGGAATTACATTTTCTATACTTATTTTAGAACTTGTTCCTTGAAATGTGATTTACTGGAGAGCATCATCAGCATCACTTGGACACTTATTAAAAATGCAGCCTCGGGGCTGGGGATGTGGCTCAAGCGGTAGCGCGCTCGCCTGGCATGCGTGCGGCCCGGGTTCGATCTTCAGCACCACATACCAACAAAGATGTTGTGTCCACCGAGAATTAAAAAATAAATTAAAAAAAAATGCAGCCTCTCCTGTGGCACTGCATACCTGTGGACTCATTTTCTCCATTTAATGAGATTCCTAGATGATTCTATGAACATACTGAAGTTTGAAAAGCAAAACTCTAGAGTAGAGGTTTCAGTGCAAGTGAAAACGACATTTCACTCCACAAATGGACTTAATCTCATAAGAGAAAGAAGTAATGATATATTTGACATGTAGCCTTGCTTGGTTAAGCTAGAATCTTAGCTATAGGAATAACTTAAGGAATGTCTAACCATTTCTCTCATTTTATAGATGGTTAAGGCACTTGTCCAGGGCCACAGCTAGTAGTTGACAGAGCTGGAACTAGAACACAAGGATAATGATTTTCAGTCCAGTGATTTTTCTCCAACCTGATCTTCTGTTTGATACAGTTTAGTGGATATGTATCTGTCCAGATTAGTCTTCAAAGCGCAACAGTTTAGTGGATATGTATCTGTCCAGATTAGTCTTCAAAGCGCAAAGAAATATAGCAAACACTGGCAAGGGCATTATTTTTTGATTGACAAGAAAAATCAGATGATTCTTTTATTCAAAATATTTAGGATATAGAGGACCAGTAGCAAAATTAAARCTGTACTTCTTTTGATCTAGATGTTATAAAATATCCCAAGCTAATTTTGTTATACTTGGTATATTTCAGCTACAAGAAATGTATTAACTAGATAAAAAACAAAATATGGTAAAAGAATAGTGGGTTTTATTTATTTTTATTTTTTTAGTGGTTCTGAAAAGTTTTTTATTGGAAACCAAAGGGTATCATGTTTAATGAAAAAATGGCTCATCTGGGTTCAGCTGCAGAATTCCCTCTAAATTTTAAAGCTAATTAATTATTTAAGTCATTGCTACAGTTTTATCAGGTTAGCTTTTTGTCGTAGCATACTTAACAAAAGTGCCTGAAAATATAAAGATTTTTCCATGTTTATTTTTTCATGCAAATACAGAAGAAAATAATGTAAAAATGTTAAGAATAGTCATACTTCAGATACCCAATTCATGCTGATAATTTCTGTTAGCACTAATTTTTGATGTACTGATAGAATTAAGTCTAGCACTCTTACTATATTATATTATTTAATGCGACAAGTATCATTGTGTCACTAAGAACTATAGAGTATCACTGACCAAGTATACTTATTCAGAAGTGAATAATGAAAACATTATCTAAATAAGTTTACAACTGGAGATGGGTCAAAATTAAGAGTGCTTAAAGTTGTATTCAAGTGAATTCCAAAAAGCTTTTTTAGAAATTTGCTTTTCTAAAAGTAAATTCTTGTGCTTTTTWAAAAAATTTTCTTGGTACTGGGGATTGAACCTAGGGGTGCTTAACCACTGAGCCACATCCCAGCCCTTTTTTAGTATTTAGAGACAGTCTTGCTGAGTTGCTTAGGGCCTTGCTAAGTTGCTGAGGCTGGCTTTGAACTGTCAATCCTCCTGTCTGAGCCTCCTGAGTTGCTGKGATTACAGGTGTGCACCACTATGCCCAGCCTGTGCCAGAGCATTTGACAGTATGAAATACATCGAGAAATAAGAGTAATATATTTTGCTCTAATGCTGAATATTTTGGCTTTTTTTTTTTTTTTAACACTCAACAAACATTTATCGAGTACTTGTAATATTAGGTACTTTTTCCCAAGGAGCACATAGTCCAGTTGTGGAGAAAGAAATGTAGTCAGATAATTATAATAGAAGCTGAGATTTATTGCCTATACTGTGTTCCAGCTACAGTTCTAAGTGTTGTGGGTATGATAATTTGAGTTCCATTTTTCTTCCTGATTGCTCTGGGGAATTACAACATCTCTCTGTTACTTTTCACAATCTGTTTGAATTAAAACGAATATTGTATCATTTGCTGTAAAAATATCAAAATCTTAAAAACAGTGTATGTCTGTTTATTCCCTGCCTCACCATGCTTGTGCTATATTTGTTAGGTGAATTACCTCTACATATATTATAAACCCCTGGAGGTGATGTTATATTTCTGTTTTAAACCCTGAATGATCCTCATCTCTTCTGATTTTGCAGGCTACATATATTAATCCTCTAAATGGGCTATGAGGTGCCCATGAAGTGCAGGTGCTATTATTATTCTCATTTTATGGATGGGGAACTTGTGCAAAGAGCTTAGTGCACCAATATCAGACTGCTAGAAAAAGTGTTAAATTTGTGGAATTTGACCTATGTTGGCCTGATTCCACAACTTTCCTTCTTGTCCACCCATACCATAGTACCTTGATTAAAAGTATTATCAGGGGGCTGGGGATGTGGCTCAAGCGGTAGCGCGCCATGCCTGGCATGCGTGCGGCCAGGGTTCGATCCTCAGCACCACATACCAACAAAGATGTTGTGTCCGCCGAGAACTAAAAAAAAAAAAAATATTAAAAATTCTCTCTCTCTCTCTCTCTCTCTCTCTCTCTCTCTCTCTCTCTCCCTCCTTCCCTCCCTCTCCCCCCTCTCTCACTCTCTCTTTAAAAAAAAAAAAAAAGTATTATCAGAGGAATATAGAAGAAAAAGTTTTTAGTTAAGAAGTTTAGGATTGTTTCTTTGAGAAAGTGATATTTTAGCTGTTTACTGACTCATGAGTTGGATGTGACATAGGAGCCAGTGAGAGAGAACATTGTTAAGTGGAGCAAAAGTGTGTCATAGGTATAGAAGTACCAGTGTATAGACTGCTCAGGAACTGCTAGCAGTTTCTGGTAACTGGTAGAATGATTGAACATGAGGCTGGTAAAATAGGATGGATTCTGATTGTGTGGAATGTACATAAACTTAGAAGCCATGGAAACATAAGGCTTAGAAACTTGTAATTCCAGACATGTGAATCATTTTTCATATTTGCTTACTTGTAYATTGCCTTATCTATAAAATATATAGGCAGTAATATACAGTCAAAATTAATTATTTGTATTTTGGTTTACAGTGGGATTTCATGAGCATTTATGTTGTTATATATAAATTTCAGTTCCTGAAGAAAACAGCCTGGCTTTTGATCTAAAGGAAGCAATAAAATCTAATAATGGAGTAGTATTACATTTTTTAAAATCTATTTGTTTTTAAAATAATTGTCTACTTTCCTCTCCCAACCCCTTTTCTGGTGTTAGAATTTTTTTTAAATTAAAAAAAAATATTCTCTAGTCTCTTCATACCATTTTTCTGTTTTTAATTTAACCTCTTTTTATAAATCTTTGGGAATGTATTGGCTCTGTTTACTGTAAGTGTCCAATTTCTCTCAGTGTCTTTCCTCCAGTTCTGACTATTCTTTCTTCCTTTCTAAGTGGAAACTTTCAGTTTGAACGTCCATCATCTTCTGAAATCTATAGTGGGCTGATGAGAGGGTTCTTGCAAGCTCTTTAATTGAGTGTAGTGGGAAAATTTGAGAACAACCCTCAAATATTGGTTTCTTTATTTTTAGGCTGCAGAACAAGCAAAAGCAAGCCCAGCTCTAGTAGCCAAGGATCCTGGGACTGCAGCAAACAAAAAAGAAGAAGAAGATTTAGCAAAAGGTGCATTTTTAAGTCCCTGAAATATTTAAAGGAAATAGAGGACTTTATATCTAAAGCAGACATCTACTTTGTCTCTCTTCTTCAGAGGCAACTATTATCATGATTCTTTTCAGTCTGTTTTTATAGTATTTTCACTTCTTTGTATATCCAGAAAACTGTATGAGTTACTTTTTGCTATCCAACAAATTCATTTTTCATAAGCAGTACACTCTATCATCTGCAGCTTGCTTTTTCATGTATTGTGTTTGAGATTTTCACGACACAGACGAATCAAGTTCATTTGTTTTAAGTACTATATAAAATTCTAGTGTACTAATATAGCACACTTTTTCTACAATAGGCATTTGCATTGTTACTATTTTTTTCACTATAACAAATAGTACTGCGATATCCTGTATGTATTCTCTTTTACATATATGTGTGACTTTATCATGTGGCACTAAAAATGGCATTGTTGGAACATGAGATAGGTATATATATCTTCACTTTTCTAAAGGGTTGCATGATTTTTTTTTCCATTAACAATGTATGGAAGCTGTGATTATTTTTTAATCTCCTCACAGGAGTTGGTATTGTTAGAGTTTATTTTTTTGTGAACCTGATAGTTTCAAAATGATGTCCAGTTATTTATTTACCTGATTAGTGAGGTTGAGTCCTTTTTTTGTGCATGTAGTGGCTGTTCTGGTTTCTTTTTAGGTGAATTATCTTCCTTTTGAAGTTCTTTTTTTAAAATAGTGATATTTCTAAAGATATAAATATTTTAGGTATTTATCTATTGCTGTTTTATCTGTGTAAACATCTACCCTTGCCTTTTGTTTTATTAACTTTGATAATGACATGTTTTACCAAATAAAAGTTTTAGGGGCTGGCTCAGTGTTAGAGTGCATACTTAGCATACACGAGGGCATACATTCAGTCCCAGCTACTCCCCCCCCCCCAAAAGTTATAAATTTTGATGTTAAATTGCTTTTCTTTTAGGATTTTTACCATTTTGTGTGTAGGATGCATTCCCTTCCCCTCGTTCTAAAGTTTTATTTTCATATTAGCTCTTTATATCACTCTAGAACAGGGGTTCAGGAAGGGTTATGGTTCCAGTTGAAGGCAGGGTAGTGAGTACATTAAGATTGTATTGCAGAGTAATCCAGTTACATAATTGTTTCTGAGAGATGCATGGTGAGGATGATCTGCATTGATGGAGTAATGGTAGAGATAGAGGAGATACATTTAAGATTTGTTAGGTGAGTCTTCCCACTGGTTACAAAAGAATGATCTCTGTAACAATAAAATCCAGCTTCTTAGATACTGCCCTTGAGACTGTAATTGTGATTAAGCAGTTCTGCAGTGAGGCATGGTACTCTTGATTTCTCATGTGATTTTGATATCGTTTTGGGAACTTGCTATAGAAAAACATTTAAAAGTTAAAAGAAAATGCAAAATATTTGCTACYAAATTTCATAAAATAGTCAAGAATTTATTTTTTAATCCCCAATAATTTTAATTATATCTGTTCAATAAAAAGTCATGAATTTCTCATCAAATTTTACATATTCAGTTGTGCTTATATGAATATTATTGACAAATGATTTCTGTTCATTATATTATATTAGGATATGTTCTAGTTTCCAGCTATACTTTTGAAAAAGTAATACTTTGTTGAGATATCTTTTGGTACTTCTTTGGATTGTGGCTATATTAAAATTTTGGATATTTTAAAACTCATTATTTTTCAGCCATTGAGTTGTCCCTCAAGGAGCAAAGGCAGCAGTCAACAACTCTTTCCACTTTGTATCCAAGCACATCCAATCTTTTAACTAACCACCAACATGAAGGCCGAAAAGTTCGCGCTATATATGACTTTGAAGCTGCTGAAGATAATGAACTTACATTTAAAGCTGGGGAAATTATAACAGTTCTTGATGACAGGTAATGGTTAATTATTAATTGACTATCCATGTGAAACAATGTAAAATCCTTTGTGTTTTACATTGTTCCTATTGAATTCAATTACAAAATGTAGTCAAAATATTGACCTTTTTGTGTGGAGGATAGATTCTTAAAAGTTTTAGAGAATACACTGAATTTGTAAGACATTTATATGATTTATTTACATAGAACAGTCAGTGTATCCATGTGGATCAAAATAACTTTACATGGAATTAGACATTTACATTATCATAGGGATAGTGTTACAATGCATCTCTCTTTAAAACTGCAGCTATGGGCTGGGGATGTGGCCCAAGTGGTAGCGCACTCGCCTGGCATGCGCGAGGCACTGGGTTTGATCCTCAGCACTACATAAAAATAAAATAAAGATGTTGTGTCCACCGAAAACTAAAAAATAAATATTAAAAAAATTCTCTCTCTCTCTCTCTTAAAAAAAAAAAACAGCTGCAGCTATATGATGCTTTGCTTAAAATGAATTGTTATTGATAATGAAATATTATCAAATTTGTTAAGGTTATTTCAAGTATCACTTATTGTTTTAGTTCTTTTCTGCTGCTATAACAAATTGCTATAGACTGTGTGACTCCTAAACAACAGGAATTTTTTTTCACATAGTTCTAGAGGTTAGGAAGTCCAAGATCAAGGCATTGTCAGATTTTATGTCTGATGGAGGGCCCTTTTCCTGGTTCATAGATGGAAGTCTATTCACTATGTGTTGTTTTCTCCCTATATTTTATTGGTGCGTTATAGTTGTACATAATAGTTGGCTTTGTCGTTRTATATTCATACATTCACATGATATAACAATATAATTTGGCCAGTATTGTTTGCCAGTGTTTCCCCTTTGTCTCCCCTTGGTCCCTTGCCTCTACTATACTCATTTCCCTTCTCTTTTTATGAGCGGGGYGCACCCCCCTCAAACACTGCCTGCCTTGCGTTTCCTTTTTCCTTTCCAAAGAAAACATGGTTCATGACTTTCTGAGTTGGTTTTTTATTTCATTTAAAATATTAAATGCTTAAAATGAATTGTTTTTTTTTGGAGAGGAGGTGGAAAAAAATTCTTCAGTTCTATCCATTTTCTTGCAAATGATGTGATTTTATTATTACTTATGGTTGAATAAAACTTCATTGTGTGTTTGTGCGTATGCTCACATGTTCTTTGTCTATCCATCCATTGATGAACGCCTAGGCTGGTTCCACAATCTGGCTATTGTGAAATGTTTTGCTAAAAACCATGGATGTGCATGTGTCACTCTAGTATGATGACTTTAATTCTTTAGGATAAATACTGAGGAGTGGTATAGCTGGGTGTTATGGTGGTTTCATTTGCAATCTTGAGGAACCTCCATACTGATTTCCATAGTGGTTGTGCTAATTTATAATCCCACCAACAGGGTAAGTGTTCATTTTTTTCCACCTCCTCTCCAGCATTTATTATTGTTTTATTCTTGATGACTCCCATTCTAACTGGATGGGATAAAATCTCAATGTAGGGGCTGAGGTAGTGGCTTAGCGGTGGAGCGTTTGCCTAGCTCCTGCAAGGCCCTGGGTTTGAGCCTCAACACCACATTAAAAAAATAAATAAATAAATAAAATAAAGGTATTGTGTCCAGCTACAACTAAAAAATAAATATTAAATAAAATCGCAGTGTAGTTTTGATTTGCGTTTATTTCCCTAATTGCTAATGATGTTGAACATTTTTTCATATGTTTGATGGCCATTTGTATTTCTTTTGAGAAGTGACTATTTAGTTCATTTTCCCATTTATTAATTGGGTTTTCGGGGKTTTTTTTTGTTATTGTTGTTAAGTTTTTTTGAGTTCTTTATATATTCTSGATATTAATATTGTCAGAAGAGTAGCTAGCAAAGATTTTCTCCCATTCTGTAAGGTCTTTCCACATTGTTGATTGTTTTTTCCTTTGCTGTGCAGAGCCTTTTAAATTGATGTGATCCCATTTATTAGTTCTTGGTATTATTTCCTGAGGTTTAGAAGCCCTATTGAGAAAGTCATTGCCTGTGCCCGTTTGTTGGAGTGCTGACCCTCCGTGTTTTCTTAGGTGTGGCATAATTTTTGGTCTACCTAGATCTTTGAGCTATTTTGAGTTGACTTTTGTGCAGGATGAGAGGGATATAATCTTATTCTACAAAATGATAACCCAGCACCATTTGTTACAAAGGTTGTCTTTTTTCCAATGTATGGTTTTGACACCTTTGTCAAGAATTGGATGACTCTATCTGTGGGGCTTATTTCTGTCTTCTAGTTTGTTGCATTGGTTTGTGTCTGGTTTTATACCAGTACCATGCAGTTTTTGTTAGTATAATTCTGCAATCTAATACTTTGAAGTCAGATATGATGACACCTCCAGCATTGCTTTTTTGATTTAGGATTACTTTCATTATTCTGGGTCTTTTATTCTTCCAAATGAATTTTAAGACTTAACTTTTCTAGTTCTGTGATGAATATCATTGTTATTTTGATAGGGATTATGTCGAATCTGTATATTGCTTTTGGTAATGTGACCATTTTAACAATATTAATTCTTTCTATCCATGAACAATGGGATGTCTATCTTCTAAAGATCTTCTTCAGTCTTCTTTAGTGCAGTCTTCAGTTTCTTTCTTCAGTTTTCTTTATCATAGAGGTCTTAAACCATGGATAGAATTTATTCCTTGCGTTGTTATTTTTTCTAAGTTATTGTGAATGGTGTTATTTTCCTGATTTCTTTCTCAGCAGATTTATTATTGGTGTAGAGGAAAGCTATTGATTTTTGTATGGTCATTTAGTATTCTGTTCTCACATAGCAGAAGAGGTGAATGAGCTCTTTGGAGTCACTAATTCCATTCAGGAATGTTCTGCCCTTATGACCTGATTGTTTCTCAAAGACTTTACCTTGATACCATTGCTCTGGGGGTTAGGATTTCAACATAAGAATTTTAGAGGGATAAACATTCTGTAGGATTTTTATTTTCATATGATTTCTCAAGGAAGAAAAATCATGTAAACTTGAGACAGTTAACTGGAAATTGTACAAAACCTTGGTCCTGCATTCCTTCAAAAAAATCTTTACTGAAGACTTGTTAGCTTTTCATGTACTAGGCAGTGGGGATACAGTGGTGAATGTGCGTACACATCAGGGAGTGTGTTTCTTGGAAAGTTGTGCTGTAAAAGGTATCCTCTTATATGTCTTCTGTTGGAGAAAAAACTTKCTGATGTGTATTAGAAAGAAAAATGATTTAGGAATGGAGATTTGGATTAATGAGCCTACCTTTATGCTAGACTGAAAGAACTCTTTGAAGTTGACAGTTTTTAACTATAAATAGGGCCTCTTTTGGGGAGAGATTTAKAGCTTTTTATTCAATTCCCAAAACACTCGTTGGCCCTTAAAAAGATAAAGAACTGTGTGRTTAATACCTTTTTGTCTTCTCTAATGCCTCATTTCTTATTTTTAATGAAGATATTCTTTGGCTCCTTTATTGGATTGTTATAAATTCTAATTTAATAAGAAACACTGTAAAAAATGAAGATTTATAGAAATAAAAGTCTTTATTATTACAAAGTATTCTTTTTTGTTTATCATAGTGATCCCAACTGGTGGAAAGGGGAAACCCATCAAGGCATRGGGTTATTTCCTTCTAATTTTGTGACTGCAGATCTCACTGCTGAACCAGAAATGAGTGAGTATTTTTCATTCTGTCAACATATCAAAGATAATTTGTAATCTTCTCAATGAAATTTGAGAAATTACTTTTAAATGCTGATGTGTCTGAGGTGGGTATTTAAAAGTACCAGAAGAATAATCTAAGAATTCAAACCCTGACTATTAAGATTAATTTAACATAGACTATGGATTTTTCTTTATTATATTTATATATCTGCCTAGATGCCCTTATAAAGTGTAAAACACTTCCATTAAGAAGTGTTATGGAATTTATTCATTGTGTTAACCTGTTAAATAGAAACATATGCCCTACTTAGCTTGTTTTGTTTTAGAGATGTAGTAAGATTGTGAAAACACTTTTATAGTGTTTTTTATATACCACACATATATGTAATATTAGTGCCTCTGAGAGAAAGGGCTGTAAACTTGTGCATTGTCAGCATATGAAGTCGGCCATGTGTTGTTTCATGAGTAACAGCCAATGCACTGCTGTCCCAGCTTTGTACTTGTTAATAGTTCAAGATATAAAAAGCAAATATGCCTGTAGCAGATCTCTTTTCCCCCATGGGGAATCAATCAGCTGAAACTTTCTTTTTGTATGGTATTATTTTGCTTTATGGGGTTTGAATGGGATAAGTATATTTCTTATGTTGGAATTTAAACCATTTCTGTTTAATATGAAAGCACATAAGACAAAATGCTTAAGTGATATGATTACTTGTTCTCAGAATAAAATTATAGGCCAGTTTCCACTGGTATGGGCTAATAAAACAGTAGATTGGCATTCAAATCAAAGCCTGCCATTTATTAGTTTTCTTTGTTGAAGAGTTATTAACCTTTCTTAACCACCTTATTTATTAAGTGGGCATATATCATAGTATTGTTTTGGAGATTTGCTGGGGGATGTGTAATATTCTATTAAGTACATCTAATAGTTTAGTAAATACTACTTCCTTTCATTAATTGTGCTGCTGCTRGCATATCCCTATCTTAATTATTACCATTCCTTTAAATTTTAAGTGACCTCATTGATATAAGGATAAATAATACAGAGGAAGTTCAAACTGGGAGTAGTGGCTCATTCCTCTAATCCCAACAACTCAGGATGCTGAGGCAGGAGGATCATTAGTTTGAGTCCTTCTTTGGCAGCTTAGCAAGACTCTGTCTCAAAATATAAAAATAAACAAACAAATAAAAAGAGTTGGGGATATAKMKC